TTCATATGTTTGGCAGAAGCAAGAGAAAATAAATTTTTTTTCTTTTTATTTTTTTTAACAAAGGTCGGAGGAATCTATTTATTTTCCTTGCTCTTACAGGTACTTGCATCTCAAATTCTGGTGTTAGGGTCCAATTCTGAAGCCTTCTCGTGATGGCATTCTTGAAATGGGTGTTCCTCAGCAGGCCAGGGAAGTCATGCAGAAATGCAAGGCTAAAATCTGTGGGGTGTGCGTCACTGAAACCACAGAACAAACAGGACCTGGGGAACACAATCCCAGTCTGTAAACACTCATGCATTGTTCAGATTAAAGTATTTACGTTTTATACAGTATTATACAAGATGCATAAACTTATATTAGAACATTTCAGAAGTGCCTGAGTTGCCAAATCTCACTGTCTCGCAGCTGGACTTCGGTTCTTCCACCATTTACTCGCTTTTTGGTATTACCTGAAGTTCTAAATTTCATGAAATTACAAGCTGCCATGGAAATTCACTTTGCCATAGACTGAAAATAAGTAGCATTTGCATGTACTTTTATTGCCTTTATACACAAACTTAATTTCACTCCTTTGACTGAAACTTAAAACACAACACAAACTTATGTTTTTCAAATGTGCAAATGCAAACAAATTAATAAGTTTCAAATTTCATCTTATACTGATCACCAAAGTATGGATTGACAAATCATATTACAAATCAAATTGCTTCCTCTACCTTTTAGCAAAACCAAAAGAAGTCAAATTAGTTACAATCCTTCATTCTTTTAGCACAGAAAAGGTTTTTATCACCAAAATATCAAATATTTTCCCATGTGCATCGTGCTCCCCATATGTGTAACTACAAAACAGATCATAAGGAAGCAGGGGGAAAAAACAGATGACAAAGACTTATTTATCCCTTTAAAATACAATCCTAAAGGCAGCATCTGTAATAATCAGCAGCCTTTTACACTGAGAAACAATTTTAATATAAATGAGAACGTAACCTGGGGTCCAGGCCCGCAAGCATTAAAGAATATGAGGTTATTCTATGTATATGACTAATTTCTCCTCAGAATATTTGCAAGATTAGAAACCAGAGGAATGTATTGAAATGGTATGGAAAGAGATAGTTAGACACCAGTTAGATACCATGAATGTAGTCTATTTAATATTAGTCAAACTCACTCAAAAAACGCAGGCAATGCCTTTGGAACTCATGTGTCTTTCTGCATGAGAGGACCTTGTTATTTGGAGATGGAGAATCTGTTGGGGAACCCTAGGTGGTGGACGTGTTTTTGAAAGCATAAACAGTTTGACAGTAATTTCACTTTAATGTTACATTAGCAGTTTGTATCCATTTTGTTACAACCAGACCTCTGAGCTACAGTATATATATAAATCATTTTTGGCCAGAGATACTGGAGGAAAAAGAAAAAAAGAAAAGTCTCTTTACAAAGCCAGAAATGTGTAGCCTATCATACAGCCAAGTCCATCTGCTGCACAGTCCTAAATCCTAAATATATAACTTAATTGGATTGAAATTTTCTCACTTGCATCAGAGGAGTGCAAGAACCACTCTACTGAACTTGGATGGTCTCCTGTGGTTTAGTCCAAGTCCTGCTTGGGTCAACAGCATAAATTTAATAACTTAAGAAAAGCTTCCACAGGGTGTGGCAGACCATGAGATTCACCCTGGACTAGGCCAGGGAATCAAAGCATTGCTGAAACTGGAAATACTAATGCAACCTGTCAAAGATTTAAAGAAATTCGATTCAGTGGTATTAAAGCAATAAAATTCTACCGAGATCGTAGTCCTGAGGCAAAGAGATGTCTTAATAACCTAAAAATAGAATTGGCACTCCCTTCTCTGCCCTGAATCATAAATAAAAGTCCTATGGTGGTTAATTCAGCCTTTCAGGTTTCCCAGGCAGACACTGTTCTTCTTTAGGGACAGCAGAAATTTCTCTGCAATTTTTGTAAGCATATATTCTGATACCCTTTACTAGCCAATTTTTTTTTTTTCTTCATATTGGTGTACTGGGTTACAAGATTGCAGTTTCCTCCTTAAAGGTAACTGGACACATATATACCTTCTACAGCTGTTAGCTAGGTAATTATTTAAATAAAAATCTTTTTAGTAAAGGAATTAGTTAAGCAATAATATAAGTAAAATTCATTTTGGACTTGACATTTGCCTAAAAATGTTGAGAGCACTTCGAGATCGTTCTCGACCATATACATGTGAAAACATATACATAAATAAATGCTGCAGGTGTGCAATTTGTCTCATCCGTGTATTAAAATAGACTTGTGACTTTACACAGGGGCTATTTCTTTGATTTGAATAAATTTTCCTTTTTGAAGACAAAACGCACACTAAAATACCTCTGCCACAGAAATACCCGGCTTTGTAACTTAAGAGACCACTGTAAAAACCAGGCAGTCCTGCAAAAACAAGTTAGGGAAGCCAAATTTTATTGTGTTTTGGGGTTTTGTTTGTGTGTTTGTTTGTTTTCTTCAGGTATAAAAGAGTGCAAATTCCTGGAGCGATATGGCTTAAGCTGGACAGTGATATGAAGTAGACAGTGGAAACACGACATAAAATTTTACTTTTCAGATTTTCTTACACTTGTAATGTCATTGTCCCGTTCACTGGGTCTACAGGAAATTTAAAGCAGCTGCTCTAACTTCTGAGTCTTTAGCCTTTACTGAAGTCAGAATAATGGTACTTTAAAGATATGTTTAAACATATATTCTTATCACACGTCTTTTGGAAAAGTCTTAAGATTTATGAAATATTGCTGAACACTCATTTTTCTCCACAGGCTCATCTGTCCGAAGCCTGAGCAGGCTATTTAAAATTTCAGTCACTTCTAATAGATTGGTAGTTCCTGCACCACTGTGGCAGGAACATCTGGATTTTATTCCAGAAGCATTCTACAGTTCTGGCTGCTAAAACACTTATTCTCGCTGGAAACCAGTCTGTGTGGATTTAATTTTATTCACCTGAAAATTCCATTTGTCTGACCTTTTCATTGAAATGCACATGCAGCATCCTTCAAACTGAGGGGAGCTGATATTAAAATAAATCACAGAAGGGAGCGAGTACATCACTGTCACATTAGAGGATGCTTTGAGACCTGTTGAGAACTATTCTCTTTCAAAGGAAAAAAATACAAAATGCAGACAAAATCAAAGCCAAACATGAAGAGTTATACCCTCAGAATAAATTTAGAGCATATAAATACATGTTCTGAAGTAGTCTCTTCCTCTTTTACAGAAGAAACTCACACAGTATGTCATGCTTGTACTTACAGTGATTTAATACAGTCAATACATTAGCCCCACAAAGAGATGAAAGTGGTGCCAAACCAGAAATGTAAAGCATGTCTCACATTTCACACAGGCAGAACAACATTTATATATGTGTGTATGTGTATGTATATATATAGAAAAATGTCTCTATTATAAATACATATAAACAATTTATTATATATTATATATATTTATTTTTACTATTATTTGATTGGTTTTATTGTGTATTTTTATATATTTAGCTATATGTTAGTATATATTATTATATAATAAGATCTTATATAACACGGAATATATAGTATAATAATCACAGAATCACAGAATAGTTAGGGTTGGAAGAGACCTCTGGAGATCATTCTGTCTGAGTCCCTGCCAAGGCAGGGTCACCTAGAGAAGGTGACAGAGGAACTTGCCCAGGCGGGGTTTGAAAGTCTCCAGAGAGCGAGACCCCACGACCTCCCTGGGCAGCCTCTTCCAGTGCTCTGCCACCCTCAATGGACAGAAGTTCTTCCTCATGTTGAGCTGGAACTTCCTGTGATTTAGTTTATGGCCATTGCTCCTTGTCCTGTCTCCAGGCAGCACTGAAAAGAGTCTGGAACCATCCTCTTGACATCTGTCTTTGGGATATTTGTACATGTTGATGAGATCCCCTCAGGCCCAGGTCTCACAGTCTCTCCTCGCAAGAGAGATGCTTCGGACTCTTCATCCTCTTCACGGCATCTTCTGGATCCTCTCCAGTAGCTCCTTGTTTTTCTTGAACTGCGGACACCAGAACTGGACACAACACTCCAGATGTGGCCTCACTAGGGCCAAGCAGAGGGGGAGGATCCCCTCCCTCAGCCTGCTGGCCACGCTCTTCCCACTGCACCCCGGACACCATCGGCCCTCCTGGCCACCAGGGCACTCTGCCAGCTCACAGCCAGCTTGTCACCCACAAAATCCCAGGGCCTTCTCAGCAGAGCTGCTCTCAGCTGGCTCAGCCCCCAACCCGTACTGGTGCTTGGGGTTATTCCTCCCCAGGTGCGCGACCCTACACCTGCCTTGGTTGAACCTCATCAGGCTTTCCTCTGCCCAACTCTCCAGCCTGTCAAGGTCCCCCCAAAAACAAGCACAGCATTCAGGTGTATAAGCCACTCCCCCGGTTTTGTACCATCAGCAAACTTGCTCAGGGTGCATTCTGTCCCTTCATCCAGGCCCTGACCAAGACTGGACCCAGGACTGATCCCTGGGGATCACCCCTGACCGCAGCCCTGCGGCTGGATCCTCCTCCACGGATCACGGCCCTCTGAGCTCTGCCATTCAGCCAGTTCCTGGTCCACCTGCCCATTCTCCTAAAATCCAAATTCACCCTGAGCTGACCTCCTAAAATCCAAATTCACCCTGAGCTGAACCTCCAAGGAGGTTTCGGGAGACGGCATCAAAAGCCTTGCTGAAGTCCCAAGTAGGCAACACCCAGTGCTCTCCCTTTGCAAACCCCTAGTAGATGTATTATGTATGTGTATATATAATACATATATAGTATGTGTGTGTGTGTGTGCGAGTACATGTATGTAAATATACACATTTTTTCCACAGATATGAATACACAACACATATACACTCCATCCCCAGGGGGCACTCCCCGCACAGAAAGACGCGCCCTCCCCGTGCAGCGCTGCGTCCCCGGCCACTTCCAGGGATGAGGGAGGGAAAAACGGGGGAGAGGGAATTTCCCTGCAGGAATCTCCGCCGGGCCCACAGCGCGGGGCAGGCCCGGGCTCGGCCCGCCCTTCCGGCAGCGCCGCGTCCCTTCCGGCAGGGCCGGGCGGGCGGGGGCCATGGCGGCGCTGGGCGAGCCGGTGCGGCTGGAGCGAGGTGAGCCCTGACCGTGTCCCTGCCCTGTCCCTGCCCCTGCCCAGCTCGGCCCCTGCTCTGTCCCTGAGCCCCTGGGCCGGCCCGCGGCGGGAGCGGCGGCGATGGCCGAGCCTCTCCCGCTCCTCTGCCCTCCGCTCCCCTGCCCTCCTCTCCTCCTCCTCCTCGCCTCTCCCCTTCCCCCCTGGCTCTCTCATCGTGCCGGTGGGACTGGCCTCTCCGGGGGCTCGCTTGGCTTTACGCGGCCCCCGGAGGGTTTTTGCTGGCCGTGTTTCCAGGGCCGGGGCCTTGTGCAGCCGGCTGTGCCGAGCCCTGGCTGGTGCCGCCGGCGCTCGCCCGGCCTGTGCCGTCCCTTTGTTCCTGCTCCTCTCGTGGGAGAACTCCGTCCTGCGCTCAGCAGGGTTACTAGCTCTAAGTTCAATGCGTTGGCTGTTTGCTTTGGTTTTCCTAGTTTACTGGTTTTTGGTTTGTTTTTTTTGGTGGAAGACAACTGGCCCGTCTGCGCTTGTTGCCGGTGCTGCTGAGCTCGGCTGCGCTCTCTCGGTAGTGTGTCCGCCCCGTTTTTCCTGTGTACGGTCGTAATTTGTGACACATGGCGGTGTGTAACCGGAATTAGGAGCGAAATAGATAAAATATAAAGCTTAGGTGAGGTGTTTGTCTGTGGTGTGCCTGTGGCGTTAACCCAGGGGGCTTTTAAGGAACTGCGGTAAATTACCTTCGGTGTGATTCTTCAGCCCGCAGTAGCTCAGTGAGCACATGCTTCTACAACAACGTACGGGACGTGTTTATCGGGGTGTATTTAGGACAGATAGGGATTGGAAGATGGAATTTAAATGGGGCGATATTGCTGATAATTAGAAGTCGTGTTTCTGAAAAGGAAAACAAGTGGATGGAGTGTAGGTGATTGAACGGACTGACTGTTTTCCCACTGCGACCACCACCCTTGCTCATGCTGGTGGATGCTTTTTTGTAGGCATGTAACGTGCTGTACATACCCACTTTATTTTGTTTGGTACCATCACGTCACCAGAGAGCTCGGTTTTTCTGTTTTCGCTGGCTCTGCTTCCCGTTCCACAAGTGAACTACTTGTTATGTGTTAGAGTGGTCTGTAAATAGTGACTTATGTAAGCTCTTTGCTTCCCACTGTGCAGCTCATCTACCCTCTCTACTCCAAAGCTCGTTAATTAGGGCAGCTGCTTTGGCAGTGGATTAGTTGATCTTGAAAGGTCCACGGAGTTAAACCTCAGGCCCCATCCTTCTTCACCTCATTACCCTGCCACTACGCTCTGTCCATGAAAACAAACAAATCTGCAGAGTTACTTGGGGATCAGTGGAACAAAGGAGGTGTTTGGTCTTCTGGCATATTGGTCTTTTTATGAGAAAAGAAGAGAAATGCATATGCTTGCATTGCTTGGAGTGGTGACTTGTTGCTGTCTTTTCTTTCCCACATTCTTTTAGTTTAAATGTGTGTTTTTTCTCAGATTCCGATTTTATATGCCATGATCACAAAAAAATGATTTGTGAAGAACAGGCAACTGGTATGAAAAGGATGAAAATACTAAAAGAAAATTGATTTTTTTTTAGTTATGTATGGATTCCATTTTATAGTTGTTTGTTTGTTTGTTTGTTTGTTTTAATTTTCTACCTCTGGAGTTATTTCTACATCGATGGATCCTTGCTGAAATCCAAACACTTCTATACTGTTCATTTTGGTCTCTGGTGCTGAGAAGCTGGCTAAGCTATAGTGTTAATATTGTGAGGAAGACAGCTTCCAGCTGGTCATGTCCAGAGCAGTAACCCAGGAGGAAGCAAATTACATCAGCACAGCAGTCAGCAATCTTTTCCTGCAAAATGTGTGTTTTGCCACTTGTCCCCATCCAAACTAGTTCCTTCCCAAAGTGGTATTGTTGGGATAGATTGAACCTCTAGCTTTTAACTGGTAGTGCCTCATGCAGTTCAGCAGAAGAAAGTTATGCTCAGCTGCACTTTCAGGCTGCTATAATGGGATCCTCTAAACAAGTCAGAGCAAAACAAAGTTGGGAACAAAGTGTCCTGCCAGTGGGATCCATTGCTTGCATCTACCTGAGCGAGAAGTGTGGTGTGATAAAACATTTACTGAGTGCTGAGGATCCAACTTTCATGCTGTGTTTGACTGCTCTATAAATAAATAATTTATTTGCAAAATATGACTGTCAAAAGAGAAATTATCCCATGTAGTTCTGGAGTCTTCATTTCTACAGCGACCCCTTGGATCAGTAGATTGCTGTCACCATTTAAAGTTTCTTGCAGTATCCTAAACAAACTGATAACAGCTCCATACACCTTACAGCTTAACGTGGTTCAGGGTCTCAAGAATGTCTGTGTAGAGCTGTGCTCTTTGTGTGCATGAGATAATCACTCGTCTGCAAACATCTGCATGCATTTAGATGATAGCTGTGTTGTAGTTTATATACTTGCCAGACTTCTTGCATGAATATATGGAGTGTTGTAAGATTGGAAGTGCTGCTATTGCCACTCGATCGTTCTACTTCAAGCTGTTCAGTGGGAGACTTCACGAAATTAGGATAATTTGCACTGCTGTTGCTGAACACAGGGATTACTAAGAATGTTAGTGATTTTGCATCGTCTAGAATGTCTCTGATTTCACCAACTATTTTGGATTTAAAATGAAATACAAAATATGTGTTAGGAAATTAAAAGCTTTAGAGGCATTTAGTTTCATTTTGTCATTGTGTAAGCTGCAAATATGCATGTCTGTGTGAAATGTCTCTGTAGAACACGGAATTAGTAATTTAGCTTTTGATATTGCTTTGCTGTAGATAACTGCTGCTTGCAGAGCTTGAAAACACTTGCCAGAAAACACCAAGTTCTCATGGCACATAGCAACCTGAACTCTCATCTGAAATCATTTGAGTCTCGTGGCTGTAGTGATGATATTTGAGCGTTTTTCCGTGAAGGGAAGAAGTTTCAATTCCATGGATGGCCAGACTGTGAGGTTAAATTATACCTTGTTGAATCGACTGTACCGCCTGATCTCGGTGTAGCAGTCTGTGAGGTGTGTCTGATAGTTCATAATGGGGCAGAACATCGCTGTGGGCTGTGTCTTGCCAGTGTACTTCACCCTAATTTCAGAACATGCACCCCACTGCCTTTTCATCCTGTTATGGAAGTTCTCTCTTTTCACACTTGTTTTTTTGGGAGAAGTTCATGGCTATTGCACGTCCTCTGTGCTGATGTGATGCCACTGAGTAGACATGCATTGACATGAAAAATGAGTACCTAAAGGTTAATTACAGGAAAAAAAGAAAGTAATGCATTTGGGACTAGCTGTGTCCCAGACTTCATCCTTCTCTAAAATAATTTGTGCATTATTTATACAGTAGATTATTCACTGCTTCTTGACCTTTGTGATAATGAAGGCAATCCTTTCTGTCTGCTTTTCTGAGAGACTGTTCTACTTCTGTTCAAGAACTCGTGTGTTTCAGACTCATCACTAATGTTGCACTTCGGAAATAACAAGTGAGGGATGTGAATGTATCCAGCTATTGTAGGGCTGCCAGGAGAATGTCACATTGCATTTGATGCCTGTCCTGAGTCATAACTGGCCTGGAATGAAATCCTTCATGGAGTTCACTTTCACAAAGCAGCGTTTATGAGGATATGGACAGCATGAACTCTTAGGAACAAGTTTCAAGGAACTGAAACAAAGAGGTTTGGGCTTCGGGATTCTAGACTGCAGAGATATTGTCTCTCAGCTGAGGGTATCAAAAGGAGTTTTGTTGTTTTTATAAGCACTTCAGGGGGGAAAAAGAATAGGCCAGATAGTTCATAGCCCTCTAGTAGGGAAAGCACTGAGTTCAACTAAGTTTTGAATACAAAAGGATTGTTGGACAGAATGTTTGACAATATTCTAGCTGGTGTTAAAAAAATGCTATTGGTGCAGTAGATGAAATGCACTACCAACATATCATATCAGTGAAATATTTCAGTCCAATTCAAGCTCTGAGGGAAAATCAGATTTTCTTTGTAATACGCCTGTGGCAGTGATAGCTCCAGATATGTTACAGGGTTGGGTTGCTGTGGTTGACTTAAAATAGTCTGGAAGTACAGTATTTTGTAGCATTTTGTAAATACATAGTTTTACAGGCAGTGAAACTAATGTGTAGCTGTAAAATGTAAACAAGTGCATGCAGACAGACTACTGCATTAACTTAATTTAAAAAAAATAAACAACAAACATACCTTGAATTTCCTCAGGCATTCCTCATTACTATTGCCTTTTTTTTTTTTTTCCCAGACATCTGCAGAGCAATTGAATTGCTGGAAAAATTACAGAGAAGTGGAGAAGTGCCACCACAAAAGCTACAGGCACTGCAAAGGGTCCTTCAAAGTGAATTCTGCAATGCTGTAAGAGAGGTAAGTTAACATGAGCTATTATCTTCAGTTGAAGACCTTTTTGTGCTCAGTGCAGTAAGCTGATTTTTTGTACTTTTTAAAAGCTGAATTTGATTTACAGAGCTTAATAGATCAAGACTTATTTATTAATAAGTTCGAAAGAAAATAATTTGGGACAGCACAGGTGTATAAAATAATGGCTCAGGAGCACATCACTTCTTAAAGGTTCTTTTGAAAGTCTGTCCTTAGTGGCAGCTAACAGACTGTTATCCTATTGGAATGTGAGAACAGACAAGGTACCAATTGCCCACTTTACTTTTAAGCCAAATCCACATCATCTTTAGGTGGGGCCTCGGGCCACCTCATCTTCATTCCAGGTACTCTTTTGGAGACTTTTAGGTGTTTGAATATGCCTTGCTATTGCTGTTGGTGATGATAACACCTGGAATGACTTTAAAAAATCTGTTTGTAGACACAGATGTCGTCTTAGTGTTTGTGTTGGTTGGGAGTGCAAGTGGTTGGCAGGCAGATGTGAGGATGTGGGTTAACCTTCAGTGCAAGGGCTCCTTGTCATTAGTATTCTCATTGCCTCTGTGTTTTTGCTTCTGTCTTTTCCTGGAGTTACTCAATTATTTGCCACTGAAACTGTTTTGTCTCTAAAGGTGTATGAACACGTGTATGAAACTGTGGATATCAGCAGTAGCCCAGAAGTTAGAGCTAATGCAACAGCAAAGGTAAAAGCCAAACTATAACATGCATGAAATACACTAGTTCATTCCTTTAGAAGCAGAAGAAGACTATATAAAATTCAGAAGGATATTATCAAGATGTCTGATAAAATGGACAAGCTTGATGGGTTATTAAAAGGGTATGACAAGATCTGTTATTTTTAAATTTCTTCTCTTTTAATTTTATTCTCGGAGTTCTGAATTTTTCATGCTAGTGTTGGTATGTAGGGGATTAATCTCATTTGTCCTAACACTGAAGTACTTTGAGATAAAATACATTTCCAGCCTGCTCACTGTGTCTGGCTAAAGGGACTGTTTGTGTCTCACAGGCCACGGTGGCTGCTTTTGCTGCCAGCGAAGGTCACTCCCATCCCAGAGTGGTTGAACTACCCAAAACCGAAGAAGGTCTCGGGTTCAACATTATGGGAGGCAAAGAACAAAACTCTCCAATCTACATTTCTCGGATCATCCCTGGAGGCATAGCTGACAGGCACGGAGGCCTGAAGCGTGGAGACCAGCTGCTCTCTGTGAACGGAGTGGTAGGAGCTGCTTTTCTCTTCGTGTTGTAGCAGTAACTGCTTGTTTCCACTTGAGGGCACACGGGGAATACACATGGCACAAGCCCATTGTCTCTTGATATCATCAGAATAGTTTCTTTTTGTCCTCACAAATACGACTTGTTTAGGTTTCCATAGAGGTGTGTGCACTGAGAGTTTTAGGATTATGCTCTGGTTACCTGTCTCAGCTAGGAACTGTGCTATGTATTTCAGCATTTCAGAATCTGAGGGGTTGTATAAATGTATAAATGTAACTGGAAGTATTTTGTGAAATACAAGCTGCTATTATGGCTTCCTCTTTCATCCAAGTTTCATGATGCAGATTTTTATTAATATAGTATTTTTCCACCTTCTAAGGTAAGTAGTGCATTATGTTTTGTCGCATTAGACTGACCAGATTCTTGTTTTTCCCAATAAAAATGCTACTGCATGACGAAAGCTGTAATGAGATGGAACTACAAGGTGATGTTATCTTGTGTGGTATTTTTTTCCCTTCCACTTAAGTGTACTGATTTCAAAAGCAGGCTTTTTACTGTATTTAAGGAATATAGGAATTTTTTATTATATGTATCCTTTTCCAAAGAGCTACAAAAAGTGAAACAGGGAGGGTTGGAAAGAGGAGGTTACAGACAGGCTTTTCCTTGAGGCAGCTTTCAGTCAAATGCAAGGAAATATCTGTCTTTCAGGTGAGAGACCTTGAGTGTACTGTGAAATTTTAGGTGTTTTGATACAATTAAACATAGAACTTTACCATCTTTTTTATTACCGGTCTTAAACAGAACAGCCTACACATCCACTTGAATAACAAAAATGAAAACATTCAAATGTATGTGTTGTCTTAAGTCTGATAGAAGAGAGATAACTTGGTGGTTTTTTTAACTTTTGTCTTTCTTTCTGTAAGTAACTTTATAGTAACGGGGAAACCCTCCAATCAACAGGTACATCAGCTGCCTTCTAGCTTCTAGTAGCACCAGTGGGAGGTAGGCTTGGAGCAGTCCTGTCATTGTGTTTAATAGGTTTGGGAGAAATAAGCTTTACTGATAAAATATGTGCTGTCAAGGGAATGTATGTTTGGGTGCAGTTTTTGCGAACTCTTGCTTAAAAATCGTACTTAGATGAATCTAATACAACCCTAAGAAATCCTGAGACTTGTTTTAGGGAAAGTATTTTTATTCTGGTCTTTCTGAGTTGGGTTAGGCTGTTCCTAATCAGTTTAGGGGAAATTACCTGGAATATCTCACGTTTTGCTGAGGGATGTGGGGCTCACTGAGATAAGCACCACCCTGCATGTCGGCTGCTCCGCTGCAGGCACCCGCTGTTCTGCCTCGTCGTAGCACAGGGGGACATCAGGAAGGCAGCATCATCTTGCAGGTTGTCTGTGGCAACTCACTAAGCAAACTGAGGATTTGCCACTGAATTTAAAATGCATGCCAAAAGAAGGAAAACAGTGCTGAATTTTAAGTAAGCATTGTTGATTTCTTAAGTGTGATTTCATCACTGACTAGCGTTATCCTTGAAGAATTTAATTCTTCAGCACAAACCTAACCGAAATTTTTGCACTGTTCTTCTGTTAATGCTAATGAGTATATTTATCATCATCTCATCGGTTTGCTGCAGCATAAATCCTGAACTTGTGTGACGTGGTCCTTGTGCAGTCTTGAAACTAGAATACATATAAATAAATACATAAGTATATTTGCTTACATGAAAGTTGTACAAAAAAAGAAAAAAAATCTGTTTTCAGTGTGTCTTTACTAATAACTCTGCTTAATGGTTTATGCTTTACAGAGTGTTGAAGGAGAACACCACGAAAAGGCTGTAGAACTGCTGAAGGCAGCTCAAGGGAAGGTTAAATTAGTCGTGCGATACACGCCGAAAGTCCTGGAAGAAATGGAGTCGAGATTTGAAAAAATGAGATCGGCAAAACGCAGGCAGCAAAACTGACGTTGTATGCAATAACTTACAGAGAAAATATACTCCTTTTACATGTTATTATGGTTTCTTTGTGACTCAGTTGATCCAATGCCTGGGCTACAAAAAACCCTGTCCTTTTCATAGAATCACGGAACGATTGAGGTTGGAGGGACTCCTGGAGATCTAATCCACCACCCCCCCAGCTCAGAGGAGGGCCAGCTAGAGCAGGTTGCTCAGGACTGTGACAGGCTGGGTTTTTAAGCATCTCTAAGGATGGAGACTCCAGAAGATCTCTGGGCAGCCTGTTCTAGTGCTTTGCTCTCCCTTACGCTATGAAGGTCCATTCTTAGTTTAAACAGAGCTTCCAGTATTTCCACTTGTGCCCATTTCCTCTTGTCCAGTCACTGGATTCTACTGAGAAGAGTTTGGCTCTTTATTTACTCCTCCCTTTCAGGCATTTACACAGGTTGGTAAGATCACCCCTGAGCCTTCTCTTCTCCAGGCAAGGACAATCCCAGTTCTCTCAACCTCTCCTTGTCCGTAAGATGCTCCAATCACTTAATCACCTTTGTGGCCCTTCGTGGAACTCGCTCTTGTACACCCATTTCTGTATTGAACTGGGTAGCCCAAAACTGGACCCAGCACTTGTGTCTCACCCAGGCTGAGCAGAGAGGGAGGAATCCCTCCCTCAGCCTGCTGGCAGTGCTTTTCCCAGTGCAGACCAGGAGACTGCCGGGCTTCTTTGCCGCAGGTGGCTCACGGCTGACTGCTGCTCTCTGCAAGGCTGCTCTGCAGCTGCTCAGTCCCCCGGTCTGCACTGCTGCATGGGCTTATTTCCCCCACACCAGGTGTAGGACTTTGCACTTCGCTGAACTTCACGGGGTTCTGAGAGCGTGATCTGTCCCATCACCCCGGCTGATCGTGAAAACAGACAGCGGTGTGGACAGTACAGGCCCTGGGGTGCAGCAGCAGTGACTGACACCTGGCAGGACATTGTGCCACTGATCACAAACCCTCAGCAGTTTTAGAATGTTTTCAGTCTCCTTGCGTTTCACAGTTTAAGAGGAATGTGTACTTTCACAATGGCCTAAAATACCCTTAAAAAACATATATGGTGACACTTCTATTGATTTTTTTTTTTCTTTTTAATCTTGTGTCAGGCCTTTAAGCAAGAAAGTGAATTTACAGATTTTTCAGAGGCATTTAATAAGACATAGTGGTACAATCGGCATCCCTTTTTTCCTGTTTTCTTTTGGCATTACTTAACGTAGAATCTGCAGGGGTTTTTGCTGAATGACTTTTGGAAAAAAAAAATTCTTATGTAGCAGTATTTTGGCACTTTTCTTAAGAATATGTTGTATATCGACTGTAAAACCTAATCACAATCTACTGTGTAGCTGATAACGATACCAGATTTTGTAATGTTTTGGTGAATACATTGTTTTTACACTTCTGCTAAATTGTAATTCGTTACTCTGGAAATTGTATTACCTCTCCTGTAAATAATTTACAGTTGGTGTTCTCACATAATGATTTTGTAATAGCCAACATTTACAAATTTGCAACAATCATTCCTGTAACTTATATTATTTTGTACTAATTTTAAAGCAGTTAAGGGGAAAAAATGTGATTGTTGTATGCAGTTCTGCATTAACTCTCTCTCTCTAGATGTATTTTTATATTGAGAAACAGAAGATATATTAATGCAGTGCAGAAGAAATCCAGATGTTTCCCTGACTTTCTGCTGTTTAAAAGAATTACTCATCTTAATTGTCATACCTCTCTTGTCTTTTTCGTGTCTTCTATTGTAGTCTTTATCTACACGCTGAATGTATTGGTCCTGCAGTAGTTAGTACCTAAATTACTGATTGTTGTGTTTATAAGAGCAAAATGTTCTGAGTCTTACATGCCAGGTTACTGTGACACGTGAACTTGTCTGGGGTTTTATTACTGACTGCTTCTGGCTTGGAGGATTCCTGTTTGTGCTACAGAAGTACTGCATCACCCCTGCTGAGTGAGGAAATGTCCCTCTGTAAGCAGCTGATGTCTTATCCCGTGGTGGCACGGGGTTTGTGTGCCCTCCTGGAGCGAATTTCTGGGCAGAGATCCACTTTTTTTGGAATCTCCCAGGTTTGATGCTGTACTTGTGTAGTTTAGGTTTGGAGTTTTGGATTTGGTTTGGTTTGGGTTTTTATTTGAGCTTCACCTTTTGGTATATATATCTAGGATTAACTTCATTGTCTACTGGGTGTCTGTTCACTTGTATGGCAGCTATGAGTGCTTCCTGTTAGTAATTTGATTTTTAGAGGCTTAAACTGCAAAAAGTGCAGCTCTTGCTGTGTGTGGCTAATCCCTAGCCTTATTTCACATGGGGCAGTATGTGAAAGAAAGGAAAAAAGCCGGTGATCTGAAAACGGCAGCATGAAGCTTGTGCTCTTGTCAGGTGAGCTATTCGAAAATAAATTAAAAAAAAAAAAAAAAAGTGATTGCTACAGGCAAGTGAGGAATGTGATTGCTTTCTGCATGTTTGTAAGCATGGTAAGCCTGCAAAAAGAAATTTCGAAGATGCTGGTAATTTGAAAATTCAGTATGAGTATTTATCAGTTAGATGGCATTGAGCACTGAATTGCATGGTTCGTTATGTGTCATAGGCCCCTTTCAAAAAAGGCCTCATGTTACTGATACAACCATGTTGTTGAACTGTATATTTTTATGGAAACAACTAATGTTTAAAGTATTGAGACCAAAATCATTAGTTAGATCAGTCGTGGACGTGTTTTAATTTAATTGTAAATTAGCAGAAGTTTGTTTTAGAGCCATATATAAATATATATATAATATAGAAAGCTATGGATACAAGATAGAAATGTGCATTTTACGACCTGTATCCCTTGTGGTACTGAACAAAGAGGTGTGTTTTGTTACTCTGATGAAATACTTACTCTAGTGCAGCTAGAGCTGCGAAGTGCAGTAGCATTTTCATTCTGAATTGTGAATTGAATCCAAATGTGTAGCATTTGGGTACAGTTTGTCAACTACTACAAAACATGGGGAGGTGTGTCTGGGTGTATAAATAGTACATGTAGAATTTGATAAATTTTTTTTTTTTTTTAAAATTGCAATAACAAAAATTAATAACAGACTAATTAATAACTGTCGTCTTTTAATACTATGAAAACCCTCTAGTAATAAGGAAAGGGTGGATTAAAATAAGCCAAGAAACTTGATCTCTGTTACTACTGAGCAGTGCCTGTACTGTGTTAATATGCAGTCCCTACACACTTGGCATACTTGGGTATGCAAACAGATTAGGAAGAGGTGTCATTTCTGCAAGTAACTTCTGCATCTGTTGCTGCTGTGAGGGATCTTTGGTTTTATCAACAGAAAAATAAAAGTTAAATCTCACATGCGTTGTGATTGTGTGTTTTTCTTCCAGCTTTCCTTTCTGAGCGCAGGTTTCAGACTCCTGTAACCTCCAGGGCATAACATGAGCACCCTGCAGAAACTTCAAATCTGTGGTAGTTTGTTCTCCCAGTTGTTTGTGGATCTTCCTTTTCCTACCCCAGTGTTTTTGTGATTTGCTGGAGAAAATCAGAATGCTCTGAAGTATGTATAGTAACTTGGACTTTCTGCTTTTTTGAGACCTCCTTAGTCTCAGCTACATAAACTCGTTATTCTCAATCATATATTATCTTTTAATTGTTTGGAGCGAGTATCTGGAGTAACGAGATGCTGAATTTCCGTAAGTCCTTGTTTAAAGAACTTGTAAGACTGTTAGAAAAATGTGCCTGGAGTTAAGAACTGAGATAAAGGTAGGAGAAAATGCTTCAGTTCTGAATGTTAAATAACAGGGAGGTGTGGGCTGGTTTTTTTTTGTTGTGGGGTGTTTTTTGATTGTTTTTGTTTTTTTAATGTAAGTAGGCGGGACTGTGAAATGAAAATATATGCAGAAATATTTATGTTAATATTTGATGTAGAGGATTAGTAACAGTTGAAACGGAAATAGAAAAAAAAAAAAAAAAACCACAACATTTTTATTTTAAAATCAAATAATTTCCATGACCTGGCTTGTGCCACTGATGTCTGTCAAAAAATAAAGTGCATTGTCAAAGGAATTGCAGTGGTGCAAGGAAAGAGTGAGACTATAGTTGGTAAACATTGGAATTACAGGGAATTCCAAGATACAGAGCAGTGTGGGTTTCTGTGATTCTTTGTCTTCTAAAAGCCTGATGAGAAGTTGATTTCAGAGCAGAGTCTGGGTTGCAGTGCTCACTCTTACAGGGAAGTTGTCCTTTTCTGGGAGAGTCTTGAGAGGGCACACTCAACTCAAGACGTCTGAAATTCAGAAGTGTGCCTCAGGATAAAATTGGCAGCTAGTTCTAGTGATAAAAAACCAACCAACCAACCAACCAACGAAAAAACCAAGAAACCTACAACAAAAGTTCTAGGGAAGCCTTTTAAAATTAAGTTAGAAACAATTTGAAGTTTTGATATGCTACTGTTTCTTCTTGCTTTAGACACAGGTTTAGAGTGACAAAATCATGAAAAATGAAACAAGCTTGCATCTCTCATCTTTGTTGGCTTTTGTTTTGTGGTTCTTTGGATGGTTGGTTGGTTGGTTTAGGGGGTTTTTTGGTGTGGGGGAGATGAGTAAATTGGGTACTTTGTTGTTAGGTTTTAAATAAAATCTGCTCTGACACATGCTAATCATTTCCCCACTCCTCAAAAAAAAAAAAAAAAAAAAAAAAGAAAAAAAAGGAGCCTTGTCACACATTGCAGGGCTTAAGAAACTGGATCTATTAATTCCAAACTGAGCAGTCCTCATATCTCTGTATCAGTTTTGTATCTGTTTAGTTGTATCATTTGCTATATTGATAACTCTTGTCCATATAAAGAATGCCTCCTGTTAGTATAAAGGCTGGAGTAAGATGGATACATTCCAGGACTACTGGGCATTTGTGTTTGGTCTTTTAAAACCTTATATGGAAATTGTGTCCTGTTGAGAAACAGTGATATTTAAACAGTCGTTTTCTCCTTCTGGAGTAAGTTTCCATGTCCCCTTCCCCCCTTTTTTTTTCTAAATAGAATATTTTTCTGTCTGGTTAATCTTGTTTGGTAGTATAGAAGGCAAACACAGCTCTAAAAGTTACTCAGGGTTTTGCATGAAGTTACTCATTTTTTTTTCCCATCACATCATCTGTTTTAGACACTCAAGACATAACTTCTTTCGTGTTTCTGATTTCTCCTTGCTTTCTAGAAAATAGGTTGGGGGAGGTGGGGGAGGGAAGGGGGAAAGCCCGTGGAAACAAGCACTGCCCTCCCAACCCGACCAAAAAACTTCCAAAGGTAGGTACAGCCACCTGCACCTGGCTCTTATCTAATCACAGCTCTGCTGCTCTGCCTGAGCAGCACAGTAGCATTGTCTGAATAAAATCTAATCGTTGGTGGAGACTGGATGGCTAACAGCAGGAGAAATAAGTCATGGGGCCTTTCACCTACTTCAGGTGGCTGTGAGTGATTTATTGTGTTCCTGGCATTGCAGCAGCACCCAGAAGTTCTAGGTTTGAGTCGAGGTTTGAAAGTGGCCGCTGTTTTCTGATTGTGTGTTGCTTTCCACTCTTGTAAATAGGAGTGAAATACAGTGGCCTGCTTTGCCTTCCCTTGCTGTTACAAAAAATATAGGAAATAAAGAGCAGAGCAGCTGAGCAGTGTCAGAAAGAGGAGTTAAAATAGTAGTTAAAATACACATTTATGAAGGACCTTGAGAGACATCCGGGGCTCGGATGGTTTTAGAGTTTTAGAGACTTTTTTTTCCTTATTGCAGGATGCAAAATCAGATTGTTGTGGACAGGCACTGTGCGCCTTAGGCTCTGGTCATCCCACATAGTTAGACATACAGTGAAACTAAAGCAAATTTTAATTTTTATGAATATTGGAGAATTTTTCTCCAAAATCTTTGCAGAGGGTTTTTAGAACAGTCCACAGCCTCCTCCAATCCTCTAAGAATCGGGATTGCATTGTATTTTACAGTGTACAAAGACAGGACAAATGCTTTGGCTCCAAGAGCCCTCAATCTGTTGCTGCGAAATCGTAGTTTTTGTGGCTGGCATTGTAAGATAAATGCTTCTGAGAGGTGGAAAAAAATTACAGTAGAAGAAAATTAAGAGTTTTTGCAGTTTCCTATGTGATGTTATTTGAGGCAATTTGTAAATTTTTCTTTTTTTTCCTCTGAGGACTACAGAAGTAAGCATGAATAAACAGGTTGAGATGCAAAACTCTTGGTACATTTATTAAAACTTGTTATTTTTTTTTTTTTTTCAGGCTGCTGACTGTAACCTTGCTGAAGCTGAGAGCAATTTAAAGTCAATCCTACCAAAACTATGGCACCCACAGATTAGTTATGTTTATACCACTTCAAAATATGGGTAAAAATAATACATTTTTGTTCCACTGTAGTATTTGAGTGAAAGACAAAGAACAACATAAAATGTTGGGCAATTATGAGGAACTGTGTGCTGTAGGAAAGCAAACCCAACGCTGTACTTCCATGTACAGGAAGAAATCAGTGACCTGGTAATTTCAGAGAATGTGCCAAAGGTATCTGGCATTTGTGCAGCATGATTTAAATCAATGCATTGATTGACATAATTTGTAATTATTACATAATTTATATAAATAAACAATATATAAAAATATATACAAATAAATTATATTTATAAATAAAATACTCATAGAAAATTCAAGTCAAAACTTATGGAGTGTGTAACCCCTCAGTCTTCATCACAATATTAAAAAGAAATAATTTGTTAGCACTGCACTGAAAAGTGTTTCAATACCAAATGATGACATTATGATTAATTGTTCCCTTATAAGACCCCCGGCATTTCTCCCCATGTATTTCTTTTTCCAGATTGTTTGGGTTATTCTGTGATGATGGTAGTTAATGCACCAAATCAAGTTTTCTTTGATAAAGGACTTGAACAAAAAGATTTTGTTCACTTTTACATAGGAGCTTTAATAATATTTAACATCCTAAACATTTTAGGATCATGGGCTTGTGCTGGGAGTAATTTATCACTGAAGATAAGTTTATTCCTTTACATTACTTGGGCTCTACTCTAATTCTTCAAAATAGTGTTTAAATAGGTTTACAGCTCCATAATCCTTAAGCTGGTCCTCTGCAGGGGCAGATTTCCCCCTTAGAGCACTGCTTTGTTTAGGTTTTTAAATTCCTGCTATAATGTCTTGCCTTCAATTTTATACTGGTCAGCACTTCAGTGGCTTATAAAAAAAAAAAGTTAATAATACGTTGTCTGACTTTAAAAAATGTGATTCTTATTGTTTCCTATGGAGGATCTCAGAGAAAGGGTATGGGCAGGATGGGAGCTGCTCCTGGGTGGCTAAACCCACACCAGATGCTGCCTGAGAGCCCCTGCCTGCCTCTGCCCACCCCTCATCCAAAGTGCTCTCCCTGCTGCTTCTCAGTTGGCCACATGTGGTGAGTTGTGCCAGAATGCACGGAATACATATTGGTGGGTATGGGCATTATTGCCTTTTTTGCCTCTGGTCTTAATCTGCATGCTCTTCCACACCAACCTCCCATCAAATCCAAATGGATTCGTGTCTTTGAAGGGGGATTTTTGCCAGAAGCGGTTAACGCTGCTGGAGAGTTCTGTGGCAATAGAAGAAAAAACTCCACGTCCACACTTCTTGTTTTTTTCCCTTTGTCTCTCAAGATTTCCCAATGTCTTTCCAGCAAATGTCTGACAAAAGTTTCACAAACACCTGCCTGTACATCGGGCTCTAAATCCTGAAGAACTTACGCTGCGATACATCAGTTTATGGTGCTTTCCAGTTTCCCCAAAGAACAGGGGGTAGTTTCTCCACAGCTCAGCTAAACTGAAACTTTCATCTGTTTTTTAATTGACTGGATCCTTAGATCCTCATGTCCCTCACCTGGTTTAAAGCACGCCTTGGGATTTTTCTCTCCTTTGCAGTTATTTTTTTTTTTATTAAATAAGCTAATTGCTGCCTTGTGCTGTATTTTGAGAGGTGCTTCTTGGAATTTGTGACATTAAGGACTAGATTTTTAAACCATGATAATTTCAAAGTCCTTGGGTACAATTTTTATTTAAGTAGGCCATTTAAGTAAAATGAGCCCTTTTTTCCCTAGCTAAAAACACCTTGCAGGGTTTTGTTACATAAATAAGCCAGCTTTGCAAAAAATATTAGAGTTTTCCTTATAAAGGAGACTAAAACAAATAAATGCCTGCAAACAGGTGTCTGCAGAAGAAGAAAGCGAGAGAATTGTGGGTTGTTGATGGAGAGAGCAGTGCTCTGAGAGCACTAAGCCAGGAAGAGGCAGAGGTTGAAAAACTAAGGAAAGTACTAATTTGGCAGGATGA